GACGAGTGGCAGGAGCAGCGGTGGGAGCTGCCCCCCGCCCCAGACAAGCTGCAGCTCTGTCCCACGCCCGCCCGCCCCAGCTGGGCCGCACCTACCCAACCTCCCAGCCCCACACTTCCTTCACCGCAGGGGCCTTGATCTGCCCCTCCCACACCCCTTCTTGCTCCCCCTTCCACCACAACAGACTTACCAGCTGCATGCAGCTGTATCGGAAATTGGATCGGTATTGGCCGATATGCCTCCTTAAAAAAATCGGCTATTGGTATCAGGCCCCAAAATCTCTATCGGTGCACCCCTAACATGAACATTCACATTGTCTGCTCTGTTCTAGACCAGTGGTGCTCAAACTTTTCCCCTCACAGATTAGATGGGCAGTGCCTGGTCTGACCATAGGCTGGATGGTGGTTCTGATCCAGCACCTGGGGCCAGTGCACTGGCCATCATTCAGCCATGTGGAGAGGCGGGGAGTTGTTCAGCCCGAGCCTGGCCATGCAGGGGGGTAAGGGGCCTAAGCCCAGCCTTGCAGGGGAAAAGGGGGTGTGGCCCAGCGTTGTGGCAAGGGGAAAGGGGCATGACCCAGCCTCAATCCAAGCCAGCCCTGTGGGGGCAGGAGGCATGGCCTGGCTCACAGGGGAAAAAGGGAGCATGGCCCAACCTTGTGTGGGAGGGAGCGGGGAGAAGGTGACATGGTGTGGCGTGGCATGGCACAGCCTCAACCTGGCCCTGCAGGGTGAAGAGGGTGTGGTCCAGCTCCCACCAGGCACACAGGGCTTGGGGTTTGGGAATTTGGCAGGGGACAGGTGGCCACCATTTGTCCACCGCCAAATTTCTGAATCCACGGAGAGCCTCATAGGCCAGATCCGATGGTTCTGCAGGCTTCATTTGGTGCACTGGCTGGAGGTTAAGCGCCCCTGCAAAACTGAGGAAGCCAAGAAGAGTTTGAGATGGCTTACGAACTTTTTTTTTTTTTTAACCAGAAGAAATAAGGTAAAGAGTGACTTAAAGACAGTAACTAGATAAAGACTAAGACTAAGATCTTCAACAGTGGCTGCCTAAATCCAGATTCAGGAACTTAAATACATGACTTGGTTTTTAAGAGTACTAGCTTATAGAAGTCAGCTCCTCTTAGGTCTCAAAGTTGAACTGCTAACTGCCTAGCACTTTTGAAAATCAAGCCATTTATTAGACACCTAATTTTAGAAAAACATTTTTGGGAAGCTTAGTGTATTTTAGTTCCCAACAGAATCCTGAAGCTTGAAAAAAATGCCTTGAGACAGATGTGCTACCACTGATGTCAGAGGGAAAACAGCCTTTTCTCTGTAGATCATTTTTTCTGATCAACATTAAATCACAATTTAAAATAAGAAAGGCACTTAGAGACAAGTGCCAAATTCCCCCTGAGCTGTGACAAATTCAACCAGTGCACCAAATATATAATGTTCTGGGTTTCATTTAAGCAAACTAAAAATGGGTCTGAGATGCAAAATCTCTCTCTAGAGCTGCACTTCCTCGAAGTTCAGGCAATGTTCAGATTCAGGGTGTGTCAGCTCTAAAATAAGCATATAAAAAGCTATTTCTGTAAAAACAGTAACATACTTTTAAATATTACAGGTAACAATCAACCTAAAATGTGCTATTTACTCTATTTAACACAAAACAAGGAATGAGTCTTTTGTTTATTAAATTAAGCAAATAAAAAGAATGTGCTCTTTTCTGAAAGCTTTGATCTGCAGGCATGGGTGGGTGGGTGTATGCCCAATCCGCATACGCGTATGTGCTGTGTGTATGTTCAACGATTTGTAGAGAACTCTTTATCAGTGATTTAGTCCTTTTGCTCTGTCAAGGAAAAGGATTAATACTTCAACAGCAACTTTTAAAAAATTCATTTTCATGGCTATTTAAATAAATACAGAAAGGTCTGACACTGATCAAAGTCTTCTGGTTATCCACAGAACGCTTTGGAGAATCTGAAGTTTATTCCTGCTACCCTACCAATTTGTTGTGATCCTGACTGGGCAGGTCAAGAGTATATATTTCACACCTGTTCAATACACACTCTCCACAAGTGTGGAGGTACTTCTATAAACTCCATGGAAAAGCCCATGGCAGCCTTCCCTTAATTTCTGACAAAATTATAAAGCCAGTTAAGTAATGTATGTCAATAACTTGACAGTAGGTAGAGTCTTTACCTTGGGTAAACATTTCCAAAGAATTGTCCTAACAGCTGAACTCGTGCAAGATAGCCCAGCAATGGATACACAGTCATCATCTGGAACAGCAGGAACATTCTTGCAACAAATGACATGATGTCATTGCTCGGGAAATTGTCTAAAAAATTCTAACATAAAGAAAGTTTAAAGAAACAGTGCTGATAACAGCTGGGGGGTATGGAGAGAAGGGGTAATAAGTGTAAGAAGACTCTTTCAAGTCAATTAGGTGAACTGAAATCATCTTCCTTCTCATACAACTGGTATGCAACAACATACAAACCTAAATATTGTGATAGGAAAGGCTGGTGATCCCATCCCTAAATTGGCCTCACCAGGTAACATTTAATTTTCTATATACCAGCCATTCCTGAGAACTCAGGAATATGGAAGTGGCATGTAATTTTATTTGGCAAGGACTTTCTGTCTTTACATGAATCCATTATGACTACTGATAACCTTTCAGAAAACTGTAATGGCTCTAGGTTTTATTTGATTCTCTCTCTCAACCTTAGAAATAATGATATTCTAGCAGATCTAAGTGACAAATAACACACACAAACACCTTTTGGTACCAGTGAAAGAGTAAATCATTCCTTCCTCCCTATGAAAGCTCACAAGACTTTCTGCTTGTTTTCTGGAATTGAAACTGTCATGAGAGAGACATTTTTGTAATTACGTTATAGTCATTCCAACTGAATTCTATAGCAATAACGAATCGATTAATTCTACAAATTGAGACAAGTGTTAAATATAGTGAATTTTATATGGTTCAACTGCCACGGAAATATGAGAAGTCCTGTAACCGTGTAACTACTCACAATATAAAGCAGAGACAAAAAATGCTTGCCAGCTATTATTTAATCATGGCTTTTCCAGTCAATAAAATGCTTTCAGGGAAGTTATAGAAGAGCTTCATCATTAAAAACCACCTTCAGTCTTTATCTAACTTGTCAGCACATCCTTTCATGTGCTGTTTCACTGCTACACTCTCTGCAAAACACTTAGCACTCAATGAATTCTTGCATTAAATACTTCATGAAAAGAGACAACCCCTATATTTAAAGTAGATTAAAAAAAAGGGATTAAGGGTGCCAACTGGGTATGACAGTCCTCCTGCCAGGATTATTTATTTATATTGAACTAGTATTCAATGGATCCATTTTGCAGTCAAGACCCCTCACAGTGCTAAGCACTGCATATATAGATAGCAATGGCCCCTGTAGTCTAAGACACTGATCTGCACATACTTAGCTTTAGGTGTCTATGATTAGCCCTATAAATTTACTAGAATTACTCATTGATTAGATTAAGGTTTTTCAAGATAAAATCCTAAGGATGCTTGAATTGTTCAGGTTACAGTTCACCAGTTTTGAGATAAGTCAACCAGCCTAGTACAACCACCCCCAAGAATGTCTAAAAATCCAGCCAACTCAAGTTTGATTTTGACGTTATTTTTGGTCCTCCCAGTCAAAACAGTTAATTTTGTTATTATTTGTTTTAATACCTGTCCTTAGAGAATTACTGGCAGGCAGGCAGGCATGAAAATGCTGCCATCATTTTTCAATAATTTATGGGAGGTGCCCATGAGGTGCTAGTCACTTTCAACAGATTGAAAAGACAGACAGTCATTGTTCTAAGAAGTCCACATCAAAGATAGTTGGAGAGAAGTTGGGGAAAAGAAATAATAAACAGTAGAGCTTTTCTACACATTAAATTAAGGGTCAGTGTTGAAAGTACAGTGCAGTAAGGTATCCTTCCTTACCTGCTCAATACACTCTTTGAACAATGGTGGAGAAGGAAATGTTGCAAAAATCAACACTCCAACATAGAGATATGTTAACCCTACGAGGAAATAAGCAACGGAAAGGTCTCTCACCTGCCAAAAACAAAAACAGAACGTTTTCTTTTTATTTTACCATTAAAATATAAAGCAAATAGTCTAAATTTACACAGCCAGTTGGTTAACAGCATACTAAACACACTATATCAGGCTGGTTTATTTGAAGAGTTATACAACATTCTACATATAAGCATTTTAGATTATGGCCAAGATTTTCAGAAGTGGGTGATAACGTTCAGCTCTTAAATCCATATTTAGGTGCCTAGAGTATAATTGGATTCAGAAACCTAACATTACCACCCACTTTTGAAAATCTTGGCCTAAATTTAGAACACGTAATACATTAAAAATGGATGATACCTCTACATTATTATTAAAGGTCACAGAACAATTAACAATAATGGGAAAATACTCAAGCTTTGGAAATAGTTTTCTGACCTGCAAAACTCACACACAAACACACATTACATTAACTAAAAAGCAACTATGTTTTTAAAAGGTTAACTAGCCTATATCAATCACTTTTTTGGAAGTGTATTATGAAGCCATTTGTTTCTGGTCATTAACTAGCTAGACTCTGTGTTAATAAAAGTCCAGTGGTGCCGTATGCAGATAATTACCATTTGCTAAACCAATGCTGCTAATGTTTCTAAACCAGCTACTGCTAGTAATCAGCTTCTTAAAGGATTACCAGTAACACTTCAATACATGACCTTATTTTCCTAGGATTTAGAGGGACATGATCACGATTAACAGACCCGAAAAATCTGTCCTAATTTTCCTCCTCATACCTGTTCACAAAGTTTATGTATTAGGTATACATTTTCCCATAAGCATGTACTTCAAGTGGTCCTTGTCTTCTTTAGTATCTTATACTCCCATATGAGAATTATTCAACAAGTCAACATGCACGATACTAAAGGAACCCTGACTACCTTTCTTAACCATGTATCCAAAACTAACTCTCTCTCCAATTAGTCATTAACGTCTAGTCTTCTAGCTCTCGTGGACTTCTGATGTAGCTATTTAAAATACAGCCAAAAGAAATTAGAAAAGGAAGAGATTGCCTTACATTTAGCAAAAATCCCTTTACAACTTAAATTTTCAAATCCCAGTGTTTAAAGTGATAGTACATGATACATGTGCAGAGCCACACATTAAAATAAAGTTACCTATATTAGTACCCAGATACTTATTACAATGGTAACCATGGTAATTATAGAAACCAGATACACCACAACAATTTGCTTGCTCATGTATATTTACAGCATGAAATTTATGCCCCACTGTTTGAAATGTACTGACATTTAGTGCTAGACTGCTGCCTAATGGAAAGGCAAACAAGAAAGCAGGCGAACAAAAACTAAGGGTTGAACAGAACTTTGTCTGCAATGACTAAAGCAGTGGCTCCTAACCTTTTTTTGCTGCAACCCTAAATCCAGGTTGTGACGCCCACCCCTGCCTTGCTCATACCTGGGATTGCAGGGGGCAGCAGCGGTGAGAGCTGTGCAGACCGTGTGCCAGGAGACCCTGCAGATGGGAGGGGCAGAGTGAGGGGCGGACCCCCTGCGACCCTGATTTGGGTCACGCCCCGAGGTTGGGAGCCACTGGACTAAATAAAGGTTTGATCGAGTCACAGAAGTGAACTGAAGGAACTAGCAAGACAACAGAAGACATACTTCTTCATACTAGCAGTTACCTCTTAGCACAAATGTACCAGATACCTGGAGATACCTGAACCATTCAAAATGTCCAGGAAATAGAGCAGAAGACAACTTTAAATGCTACTTCCCTATAGAAGGGAATCAAACCAGGAGATTTACTGCCATTTCTCTAAAAATGGCATTCTGGGGTTCTATATTTGGTACATTCCCACAATCTGTGCAGCAAGCATACGAAGGATTAAAAAAAAATAAATCTTGTTTTACTTAACAGACAATTTTTCTAGACACCTAAAAGTCTTTTGGCTTGCGCATAATCCTATAACAAAACGCTTATAAAACAGAACTTAACTTTGTTGATGCATCAGCCAAACCCAAAGCTTATTTTCAGCAGATGAGACTGAATAGGCTGCTTGAGAAGATGAGAACATTTTGAGATAATTGCTTTTTGAAGTACAACCACATTTTAAAAAGGCTAGGGATTACTGCATTCCCAACCACAACAGGGGAAGTGAAGCCCTGCAGAAGACCAGTGACTCTGCCAGATTGACCCTCGCTCCAATAGTCACCCATCCTCCTGGATATAATTTTACTATCAAGATATGCCAGGTGAGTGGGAGGACAAGATGGAGGTCTGTGGACTTCCAGCACAGCAGCAGGGCAGAAGTGCACACCTGCTTACACAGTCCCTGGCCCAAAGAGTTTAAAATCCAAAGAGATGATAGATAAAAGGAAGCAGCAGGCCAGGTAGTTGGGAGGGAAGGGAAGGAGAGATGGGATGGAAAGAAATATGAAAAAAAGGTATAAGGATGAAAATTCACAGCTGGTCAGTTGTAGACATAACTGTATGCCACCTTCTTTGCCCATATTCAGTTGCTATTTAGTGTATGCTTTAAAGAAGAGATGAGTATCAAGGATGGACAAGAAGAAAGACAAGACTGTGCCTTTAGAGATTTGGGAGAATTGGGTGACTGAGCATGGCATAGCAAAGGCAAAGTGTGGCACCAAATTGGAGAGGTTTTAAAGTATGAGAAGTTATAATGAATATAAAATTATTTGCATCAATTAGAAAGTATAAAAACTGATCATTTTAGGTTGATCACACTAAAGGAATGTAAGTGCGTCAGTGAACCCGCTGCCTCACAGGCTGGCTTAGGATCTCCTTCGCCAGTCCTTTAAAAAGAAAAAATACAGGCTTAGCAGCAAAGAAACAAAAAGCCCAGCAAACAAAAGCCTTCAACCCTTCTCTGGCTGTAGGAGGGACCATTCAACTTTGGCCCAGCACAGTAGCGAGGCCCCTTACTAATAGCAAACTTATTTGGGTTCTAATTTGCCTCCTGCTTGTAACACAGCTTGCTGACTTCAGCTCCTTCCTCTGGAGTTTTGAGTCAGATGATCTATGTTTTATGTCTGGTTTTGCCCATATTTTCTGTAAGAAGCTACACCAACCCCCCCCAAACAAACAAAAAAACCCCAAACAAAAAAACAAAAAATGTATCAGGCAACTTTTCTGCCTTGGTTTCCTCACCGGTTAAACTGGCTCCCAACCTCAGGGTTAATACAAGGGTGGGCAATTATTTGGGCTGAAGGGCCACTTCACCAGCTTTGATGAGCTGCTCAGGGCCACACATGCACGTGCACATCCACAAGTTCCCCGCAGTCAGACTGAGGCTGGCTCCAGAGCAGCAGCAGGAGTGGGAGCATGAGCCTGCCTGGGGCTGTAGCATCTTAACTCTGCTCCTCCCCAGCTCCCCCACTCCTGTACTGCCTGGCTTGGCTGACACCAGCAGGCAGGAACAGGGCTCAGAGGCATGGGGGGGGGGAATGCCCCTGCCTTTTGGCCTCCCCACCACCCACTGTGTAGACCCTGGCTGGGGGGGCCATGGCAGGAGGGCTCAGTTCCCCCCCTTGCCTCCCCCACTGCATGGTGCCAGGTGGATGGGGCTCTAGTCTATGCTGGCATGGTAGGGGACACTGAGCAGAAGCAGTCCTGCCCACTAGGCACCACAGGGTCAGACTTCATCTCCCAGATTGCTGCGCAATGGTGGGTGCATGGGCAAGCAGGGCCAATTCTGCCCAGCATCCCTCACTGCGCCAGCTACAAAGAAATCTATCATTAATAACATCTAACTGTATATAATACACTGCTTCCTCTTCATGATCCAGCTGGTTGGTCAAAATTCATGGTCCCGAATGTTGTTTTGGGTAAAAGGAAAAACTAAAGACGGGGCTAGGTTTCTTTGATACAATCCTATTTATTTACAAAGAACACACTAAGTCTTACTTTCAAAAACACAAATGTAATCAAATAGGAGACAGAACTGTGAGCAAAGAAACCAAGTCACTTCACCTGACTACTCATAACCTCTCCAGCTTTTTCCTCAAAGCCTAGTTCCCAGTGCTCATGCTGAATCACTTGCTTTTTGCTCTCTCTCCATAGTGTTTTCTTGCTGCTTTTCTCACACTCAAAACCCCTGAACTACAGCAGCAGTCAAAGAAATTCTCCATCCATGTGTTTTTGTTTTGAGTGAAGCCATGTGTTTGTATTCTGTGTGGGAACTGTTACTGTTTCAGCTTTCTGGCTCTATAAAAAGGAACTTGATTATTTTCTTTAGATTTTTTTCCCCAGAGGCAGAGTGCTTGTTGTATGCACCGGTTTCAACAAGGTGTAACACAACCTGTAGCAGTACTTTCCATTTGTGCACTTCTGCAGCTCTTCAGAGAATTCTCATAAAAAGTTAATTGAAGGGGGAAAATGAATTAAACAAGGAATTTTCCATGTGACCCCATGAAATCTAGTCTTAAACAGGGCAGAAGGGAATTGTACACCTCTGAAACTCTCTACAATGAGAAGCTGTAAGTTATCACCAAAAACAGGTGCCTCCACTAGCACACCTGCTAACAGAAGCATACTTTCAATTTGTTGGCCTATAAATTGAATTATATTACATAACATTAAGCCACACAGAAATGTTGAGGCTTAATTAATGTTTGCAAAGTGCTTTGGATTTATGGATAAGAGGGTGCCACAAAACTATAAAATATTTCACAAAATTATGACTGCAGCCTAATCCGATTAAACGATACTACTTGAGCTTGTATAAACAAGGACTCTTTTGCCAACATAGATTTTAGGGGCATGATCTAGCCTAAATGGTCTGTGCATCTACCATTACTTCCTTCCTGACGTATACAAAAGGAGAGATATGATCTCTCTGCTGTGCTGTTTTACCATTTCCTCAAAGATGTGGAATGGGCAGACCTCTGTGCTGTCTGAGATCCATCATGGCTACTCTGGCTATACATTCTTTAAACTTAATCAAAAACACTTGGAAAAGTTAATACAATGTTATAATTGTGTAACCATACAATTAATATGCTGCAACTTCCTGCTTTCTCATACAACAGAAGTAGCAAAAAGCAGGTTCCAGGTACTGCTACAGGGAGAGGTTGCGAAATTGGTATGGAGGCATCTGGCCTCCTCCACACAGATAACAAGCATCCTCAGGATTAAGAGACCAAAATAACTGACTCTTGCAAATGGAAGGGAAATCCTTCTCTTTTTAATGAGAGAAGATTTTGAGAAAAAACTTAGCAACAAGAAACTCACCGAGTTTTCCTTCCTCCCTTATTATTTAATTATTAATTTATATTCATTAGTGCTTTTAACATGCTAGAGGGCTTTCAGAGAAGAAATCATGAACCCACGAATCCCCTAGGATATTATTTTTGGTCAGCCATCCTTGGCTCACAAAGCCTAAGAAATTAGTGCATGAATCACTAAATCATAGGTGGTCATAGTTCATATCATCCATACTGTGGCACAGAATTTGAGCCTCACTTCTCAATCATCAAAATCAGTGCTTTAAGCCACAACTGAATATTTTGTAATGTTAGTCTTGTTATATTTCAAACTAAGAACTCAGTGTGCCCAGATTAAAACCTTAAATCTAGGCACATCAGCAGCTCAGGTCATTGAGCACAGTGATAATTATACTTAAAGATGCTTGAGCTTTATCATCCCCAAAGCAGTCACTTTCAGAATGCTGCAATTCTGTCCCACTTTTGTCTCATTTTCTCTTTCCTAGTGGGGATGTGTCAGGGCTATTATCAGCCCGATGTCAAATGATATTAAGTTCCTAAGCAAGGATTATACCTGAATTATTTATAAACATAACCATTATGCACTGGCAGACAGCAAACATAATTGATTCACTGACTATTATTAGAGAATAAGAGATCTGTGTGTTCTGCACCTGTTGCAGCACCCAGATCAATTTCAAGAAAAGTATAGATAGGAATATATCAACTCTGGCATCTATAGCTACAAACCAACAATTTCTTTCAAAGTCACTCACATTGTTTTCTTGGTTTTTGTTATTCTGAAGTAGGGTGATAACACAGTTATGGATGAAGAAGGCTAGTGTCAGAACTCCTGTAAACTGAGGAAACAGAATTCTAAATTCTTGGGGAGAAAAGGAAAATATCAGTGTTATTTGCAACAGTGGAATGAACAACAGATACCAAAATGCAACAAACATTCAGAGTTAAAGTGTATTGCTTGATTACAAGACAACAGGAGTTTTCATATGGGACCAGGACAGTATCCAGTTTGTGACAGAGGCCTGGACCAAATGCTTAGGCAGCAAGTATAAAAACCATGCAATAAAACAGCTAATCTAGAACTTGCCTTCACAATAAAAGGTTCTTCTTAACCTTTAGTAGTTGGATATTGTTTTGATACTCCCCACTTTGCACAATATTAAAAAAAAAAGCTTTTATTCTTCTAACAATATAATTCCATGGGCAACCTAAGGCCTTGACAAGTCAGCTATTTATAGAGATACTCTGGCTGCAAGCAAACAGATGTCAACTTTGTGCCACCATAATTTTTATTTATAGCAGCACAAAAGCTAAGTGAATTTTTGTGGCACCAACAAAGGTACTAACAGTTTGTGCTGCCCTCTTGCACCTGATGTTTGTTCACTTAAGGGACAGCGTGGGTTGCTGCACTCTCTTGCTACCCTAAGTAGAAACTCCCTGGACCTCAGGGGCCCAATCCTGGGATAAAAAGGGCCTGGGTGTCCAGGTCTGACTTAGGGCAAGAGCCTGCAAGCAGGAAAACCCCTGCTTGCAGATTCCCTAATATGAGGTTGCAGGGTATGGGGTAATCCTCTAGCAGGGCGGAGGTGGTGGGGGGAGGAAGCACACTGGACACCAATGTGCCCATCATGCTGCCGCCCCTGGGTCAGGGGCCATGTGCAAGCAGCAGGGGAAGCTCCTAGGGGAGCTCCCCACAGGGAATCATTCACCCAGCATGCATCTGCAAATGCAGAAGACTTCTCCCCTCATTTGCACACCACAGTGGGGAATCATTCCTTCAACAGAGGTCTGCAAGCACAGAGGCGGGGAGCTGCCCTAGGAGTTTCTCCCTCTGCTTGCACGTGAGCCTTAAGCCAAAGGCAGCAGCATAACAGAGATGCTGGCACCTGATGCACTTTTCTCACTGACACCCCAGGATCAGGGCATCATGTACAAGCAGATGGGGAAGCCCTAAGAGAGCTCCCAACTCGCAATTAAATCTCATGCTGGGCGATTCCTCTATGCCCCAACATGAGGACATGTCTACAATGTCAGTTCTCCACTTGTAGATGTGTGCCACAAGTTGGGATGGTGGACCAGGGGCCCTTTTCTCCCAGGATTGGGTTCCTGAAGTCCTAGAAGAGGCAGAGGATCAACCCTGGGGGGATCACAGCCCCAGCAATGTCTGTTACAAGTTCATGAAGCAGACCAGCTGTGCCATGACATATCGTGCACCAAAGAGGATGTCTGTTTCTAGCCCGTGTCTGTAGCAGCTTCTTGCTGTCTAAGTCTTTCTCATTGGTCATTCTAGACAGCATTACTAAGTTCCCCTCCAAGGAAGAGAGGTGACAACTGTGGGTGTTCTAAGGGGAGACCCAAATGGATGCTTTATAATAAAGGACTCAGAGACTCCCCAAAATACTGTCCTTTTGTGGAGGTTATAAAGAACACTATATAACCAGCATCTTTACCCTCCTGGGCCCTGCACTGTTGCATTTAGTGTCATTTGCAGAAGTGCTATGTCAGAAGACAATATACTTTGGGGAACACTGATACTGTACCAGTAATGCTTATTCACTGATGCTGTAATGTTAGCCAAGATGGTACTCTAAGATATTACCTATGTACCTGCCAAGATATGGCAACTGCAAAATAACAGAATACTCCTCTCTCTCGAGGGTGTTGTTCTGGTTTCAATGTCATTTCTTAATGCTTTTTTATTGTTAATGTGCTACCAGTTAAATGTCTCACCTTATAATAAGGCTAGAACTAGTGAAAAGTAAGCTGCTTCTAGACTTGGAACTTCTCTTTACAGTCTGCGTCGCATTCTTCCCACAACAATGACACTAGATAAAGCTTATTATGTGTGCGTATATACTAGCCATGTGCTTTATGTCCATATCTCTGGATATTGATCTTCTTGCCAAAATAATCCACATTACTGTGCACTCAACAACTTATTGTGACCTACAGCAATGTAGGCTACTGTAAATCAATCTGAATTGCTAAAACCACTTAAAACAGCACTGAACTTGAACCTCAAGCACAGTAAAAACCAGTCTGGTTTCAAGTTGATCCTAGGTATGTAAACCAGCTGTAGTTTGTATGCATTTTGTTCTCATCCACAGACTTTTCAGAAATGCTGGATATGAACTTTTTTGCTCTGTATGGGTAACCGGGAATACTATGAACAGTCTGGGACTGCTGGTACAATTCAAGTTCAAACCATATTTTCAAATGAAGGTCATCTAGGGTTTCTCAGAGAGGAAGCAGGACTGTATTTCAGCTAAGCATCCTGAAATATCTTTTTTTTAATCCTAGCCTCTGTCTAGGACTGGCAGTGGCCAGGATTAGCACTTTATAATTCTTAATTTCAGCAGCTAGCTAGAAACCAACTTTTGTGGCAAACCAACGAAATATAAGCTAGAATCCAGTTTTTCTGAAGGCTCATTTTATCCCATTACTGTAACACTTTGGCAAGGGAAAAATCTGTAGAGTCCAAGTCCCAACTCCTGGATGTGTGCACAGCAGTTCTCCCCATCCAGATAAATCTTGCATTAAGACCAGCTTTTCTGTCTAGCTATCTGACTTTGAGTGTTCTAAAGTACCATATTACCCATAATGCTGTCAGTTTGTGGAAACAATGTCTAAGTGGGTCTAACTTTAGTTAGGCCATTAAGCATTTCTATACAGGTCAGTCAAATGCTATCATTACACTGGAAGCAAATAAAGATAATTGGCTTGTCCCCAAAATACTTTCCCTCCTCCTCCTTCACTACATTCTTCCTTAGAGAAAATGTTAGATAGCATTGATATGAACCTATACAATCCAAAAATATTGAGATCAGCATCTCAGAAGGATTGAGGGGCTTACTGAAACCACTTTTGCACACTATTCACCCTAGAGGCTTATATTTGGGTTTTGTATATAGCTGTTCTCAGGAAGTTACTGGATCTAATACAGTGCTTCTGTACCTTTTTAGGCCCCAGGCATTTCTTGTTAAACTCAAAACATGCCTCAGAAAATACCGGCTCTTAGCTTTCACTCATTTTTAGTTCAGGAACACAGCAGAATAACTCTTCTGTTGCAAAGAACTCCAAAAGACCACAACAAGTCAGAACGTTTTTGAAACTATGGATTATTTTTTTAAATCTCTGGATTTATCTTGAGAATTATGTATAAATTTTTGCATACCTAATAGTACTAATATTGTGCAACACCCTTGAAAGGATCTCACAGCATCATGGCTGAGAATCACTGATCTAATAGTTTGAGAGTTGCAGACAAAGGAAAAGTTAGTTTTCTGCCAAATAGGGCATGATAGAGAACTGCATATTTACTAGAACATAAGACGAAGTTTCCCCCAATCAATATGGGGTGAAAAAGCCCCTCATCTTACATTCACATACAAAGAAGCCTGATTAAATGCGTTGTCTATCATTAAATTGCTGCTGAAAGCAACACGTGCTCAGCGATGGAAACTGACTATGAAGTTAAATGTAGCCGACACTGAGCATAACTATAAAACACATGGCCCACATGGGACAAACATACTGATGGGAACGTGTGTGTGTGTGTGTGTGTGTGTGTGTGTGTGTGTGTGTGTGTGTGTGTGTGTAGGGGGGGTGGCTTAAAAACAAAATAAAACAAAAAGAAACAGTGAAGTGTTGCCTCCGCAGAAAACTGGAACCGTGCCTGGGGGTACTACAATACCAGGCTGGCACCAGGAGGGCCAAGGCCAGCCCTGACACCTTCCCTATGGTACCAGAAATGCTATATTTGAGTTTAGCCAAAAGGACAAGACACTGATGGGAACTGACCACAAGAACAGGTTAGTGCGATAAATTTTGTAGGAGTATCCATTGTGCTCAGTCCTCTCAATGCTGACTCTTTTTCCAAGTCATGGTGAGCCACAACAACTAATATATTTCAGCTTCCTCTTTACCCTCACAGCTGGGCTATGTCTTTGTTTCCCATTTCTAAGAAGTCCCGTTTCTTCACCAGCTTTAAATGTCTGGCAAGCATCACTGAACAGGGCCCTAAACATCTTACCCAGAATCCCTCTGTCATCCCGCCCCCCCTTTCTCTCAGCTTGTTGCATATGATTAGTGTGACCCCACCCTCTGTGAGGTGAAGCTGGACCAGGTTGCCCTATGCCTCATCTACATAGAATTTTTTGGAGGATCCCAGGACTTGTAACAAGAACACCTGGTTCTAGTCATGAATGGAGGGCTAATTACCACATGGATCCTTTGTAGGGAATATCTGATGTACATGCACATACTGACCAGTGCTGAGCTGTGGGGTCACCTGGGCTTGAAATGCTGTCTTCCCTGCTGGGGCCCAGTCCAGTGACCTATATGGTAAATCATGAGCCTTTTGGCTTTGGACTAATATCATGCATAGCAGAAGTGCTGCTTAAAAGTGTGTTTATGAATTACCTGTGCTAAAACTTGCAGGAGTTTAAAAGAGGTAAACTTGGTCAATTCTGGATGAACCAAGTCTATGAGTACCTATAATAATTTTCCTGTATGTAAATTCCTACAGGCAGCATTCCTTCTAAGCTGTGCAATGTACATGGCCATGCACGCCACACAGCTTAGAGAGAATACTGCCTACAGGTATGTTTATTTCTAGGTCAGTGTTTCCAGATTTGCTTCTCAGTTCCTTACTGGCTGTGCCTGCTCTCTTTAAGCACATGGAAGGGGACAAGGGGGAAGAAGGTGGGGGAGAGGGACAGAGGGCAGGGGGGCTATTTGACCCCCCTGATTTAAATTTTCCCTGCTGTAGCAGTAGAAAGAGGACAAATTCAAGGTAAACCTCCAATAATTAGATTCTATATGTGGAAAATAGTAATTTTATACATTTTTTATATATAAAATCTAATTATTGGGGGGTCATCTTATATTCAAGTAAATATAGTATTTTATCCAGATTCTGCTTGCGGTCTGGCATTAGACATTGCAATAGAGTTCTATTTATTTGAATGATAAAACCACCAACAACCTTCATTTATAGAAAGATGAAGGAACAAGCTAGAAGCTAGCTAAGCTAGTAAGCTTGTTTTCAGCATTATTCCTAGCCAGGAATATATAATACATACTAGTTAGCCGGTCTGCTGTGGTCTTCTATACAAGACCAGTTTGAGTTTAACAATAGTATTGAATCCACCCAAATAACTGTTTCAGTTAAGCCATTTTAAATCCCCATGTGGACATTATGTCAATTGAGTGGCATCAATAAAATTTAGTTACATAAGCTGGCAAAAAGGAAAATTGATGGGAATTTAAAAATGTAGAGCTAAATCATAGACTAAGGACTCTGAGTGGGGAGCAGGGATGAGGTGCACTCAGTAGCTGGGGATGAGTACTAGTTTAAGAACCTGGAATATAAGACAGGCATGGAAGTACCTATTGGCAGAGCTGTCCCTAGGGCTGTGTGGGGCCTGGGGGGGGAAGGTTGACAAGCAGCTGGAGCTGGCAGCACTTGGCGGCAGCAGAGCCAGCATGCTTGGCAGCAGCGGTGCATGGTGGCCACAGAGGGGCCTGTACAGCACTGTCTGTGGGGCCCCACAAAGTGCGGGGCCTGGGGCAGTTGCCCTGATTCGTGCCCCCCAGGGTTGGCCCTGCCTATTGGACTGCTACAAATAAGCCTCTCTCTAATAACTAATTGTTAGTTTTTTTGTAATCTCCAAGCACTAAAAGAGTACAGCTAGCACTTTACACCATAATGCAGGAATGGTGCCCTGGCTAGCTCCTCAGCACGTGGTATAGCTGGAGGTACCACTCAACGGCCTTCCTCCCCTGGGTTTGTAGGACTTAATGCACTGTTATTGCCATATCCTGTGTCCAAGCTCAGGCAAAGGGAAGAAAGATTTTCTGTACCTTTGCTACTCTACTTACAGAGGACTTGAGCAGAGTCCAGAGCAGGGTTGGGCAAAATATGGTCTACTGGCCAGATCCATTCCACCACATGATTCTATCCAGCCTGCTGCTGCTCCTCTAAAGGAGCACTGTACCTGGCCCATGGCTGCCTTGACTTTTAGCACCTATGGCTCTTCTTGTTTACCCTAGCTATAGCTGACTGCAGCAGCCACCACTCAGCCCAGCCCACTCCCCCACCCCCCTCTGTATACTCCAAGGCAGGGCGGGGGCTAAGCTCCTGGTCAGGCTTCTGCCCAGCAAGGCTAACTGTGCACTGCTTTGACGCTGCAGCCCTTTGCAGGCCATAGAGCCTGGCTCCCAGCAAGCCAAAGTTCTCCCAGCTGGTGGGGGAGGGGGTGTGCAAGGGAAAAGGCCCAGGAGCCACAGGTTATCTAGGCTCTGCCAGTCCAGGGCCTGGTCGGGGTGTGGACACTGCGTTGTTCCCATGTGCCGCTTTGGACTATGCCATATGAATGCAGCTGTGGCTCCTGCTTGACCCCAGCACCAAGTCTGCCCAACCCCAGCACAGCTCCTACTTGACCCTGAGTCCCCAACACGCAGCCAGTTCAGGCAGAAGCCATGCCAGCTGCACCCATGTGCACCCAGCTCCCACCCTGAAGCAGTGCATGGGAACACAGTGCAGCACTGGCCCAGCCTGACCATATGCCGGGAACTTAGAGCGGGGGTGGAAGTGCAGGGAGAAGCTGGGAACGCTTCATGGCACCAGTCTGATCAGTCCAGGACAACCCATTGCTCTCAGTCCCCTTCACCCTGCACCCACCCTGCCACCCCAAGTGCCAGACATGTGGCTAGACCAGTGCCATGCTATATTCCCACATGCTGCCTTGTGCCACATGGGTGCAGCAGGCACAGTTCCTGCCTAAGCAGGCCACATGCCAGGGACTTGGGGCCAGAGAGAGGGTGCAGGGAGAAGGGGGCCAGGAGCCACATGTTGTCTGGGTCTGGCTGGGCCAGTCCCACACTGTGTTCTGACCATCTTCCTGCACCCCCTCCCCTGGCCCAAGTCCCCGGCATGTGGCTGGGTCAGGCAGGAGCTGTGCTAGCCGCACCCACATGGCCTGAGGTGGTGGCGGGATCACAGTGTGCACTGGCCCAATCTGGCCATGTGCCAGGGACTTGGGCCAGGGGAAGGGGTGCAGGGAAGTGGGGAACAAAGGTTAGGTTTCCCTCTGGGCCAAATTGCCCAAACCTGGTCCAGAGTCTCTGGAGGCATAAGTACAGTGATCCTCAATCTTTCTGGCCCTTGACCCCTTCTGAGCTAACTTCCGGCTAGCTTGTGATCATGCATGACCTCATATTTGTAGGGCTTGCAAACCTACCTGTAGGAACCACAGACCCAATTAGGGTCATGAGCCCTAGTTTGGAACTGCTGCATTAACAGTCCATATCTGCTTGCCAACTATACCTCACAGGGGAATTGTTAGGATAATAAACAAAGGTTTATAAAGTGCTTTAATGAGTAAAAGCACAAGATATAGGTTCAAAATTAAATTGCTACTTTTTTTTTAAAAAACACTTTTACCTGGTACAAAGAATTTGTTAGATGTGAACCAGCTGAATTCTATATGGAATCCCAGATATGCAGCTTTCATAGTGACAAGAAAAATTAAGTAGACAACTGAAACTGTACCTATACAAGACAGAAGAAACAAGACAGACAATTGTCATTAGGCTATGTTGCAATAGAAACGATTTATGTCTCATTTTATATCAAGTCTACCCAATGAATTGTCACCAGCCCAGAGAAACACGGTTGTTGTTCATTCTAAAACCTGCAAAGCAGACCAAGTTTTTAAAACAGCAGTTCTGTTTACAAAGCTCAGAAAGTGGTACTACAGCACCATCTATTCATTTAAACTACAAGTAAGTTTAGTGGCCTGGAAGGGGCCTAATTAATGACGAAACTGAAGCCACCTATACAAGTGCAGCAAGGCTGCTCTGATGCGCTGGAATTACAAAGTGTTGGAGCAGACTCAATTAATCAAGTCTGCTGGAGCATGGTAATTACCACATTCCAGCAGGCTCCAGCGTCACTTGTATCAGCATCCCTGCACTGAAAAATGGCAGCAGGGGCACTTTAACTAAAACTCATGGAATGAGCTTTAGATCAAGTGTCCTGGCCACCATTTTTCAGAGCAGGGATGCTGATACACATGATGCTCCGGGCACTTGAATTAGAGCAGCTTTCGGAACCCCCCCACAGCTGATTGCCGAACCAGAGGGGCGCAGGGGATGGGGGGCCAGCACACTTCCGGGTTCACTGCCAAGCACGCAGAGGGTCTCCCCGCGCTCCTGTGGGACTCTCCATGTGCCCCAGCATCACAGCATTCATGAGCCGTGCCTACCACCTCAAGGTATGTAGAAATAACTTTTAAAGCTGTGTCGATATCCAAATTGCTGATTGTCCGAATCAGCATTGAATCTTCAGATTTGGCTGAATTGAATCAGGGATAGTGATCTGAATCAACGAATCGAATCACTGTCCCCGATTTGGGCTGAATCCGAATCAAATGGGAACCGCTTCGCACACCCCTAGGGTCCACTTTTGGTTACTAGTGACTTAAGTTTCACCTGAGCTAACAAGCTACACACAACAGGATCCATATTCCATTATCCTGATCTAAGGACTTTTGCAATACACATAATTATGCATGTGCAAAACTGACTGTGTACCAAAGCCTTAATCTCACTAAGTTACAGGGGTGTAGGTTGTAGCCGTGTTGGTCTAAGGACATAGGCAGACAAGGTTCTTTGGGTGAATCTGATATCTTTTATTAGACCAACTTAAATAGTTGGAAAACAATTATTAAGCAAGCTTTCGGGTTCAAAAACCCTTCGTCAGGCTAAGGAAGTTTCAGCAGTTGGTGTGTGCTCTTCCTGGATCCAGAGCACACAACATCTGCTGAAACTTCCTTAGCCTGACAAAGGGTTTTTGAACCCGAAAGCTTGCTTAATAATTGTTTTCCAACTATTTAAGTTGGTCTAATAAAAGATATCAGATTCACCCAAAGAACCTTGTCTGCCTTAATCTCACTAAGGCTGGAACAGAGAGAGTGCAAAAGTCTGCCCTCAACAGCACAGAGAAAAAAAAGCTGATCAAAAAGGGCAAAAATAATCAGTTGCAGACTGAAAGAAACTGCATATTGATATTAATGATACAATATAGCGACCAATTCAACAGTACAGAGATGAATATCCAAGAAATAGATATGAAAAAATGAAGGATTGATGTTTAGGTGGTTTAGAAAATAAGGGTCAGGGAAGACATGATCTCAGTCTAGAAATATCTCAGAGCTAACATTAATTATTAATTAATACTTAAAGGAATTATTTGTCCTCTAACTATCAAGAACAATAGTCTGAGATTAAGGAATGAAATGGAAAGGGCTCTGAACTTTAAGATCAATTTAATAGCTGAATTACTTCATTTTCCTAATGTTCTAAGGTTTCCATAGGTGTATAGGCAGAGGAATAGCTTCAGCTTCTCACTTTATGCAATCAAAACTTTGAAGCCACTTTACCAATTTTCCTCAATCTTGCTTTGTTTTATAGGCTCTCTCTAGGGCTTAGAGAGAGAGAGAGAGAGAGAGAGAAAATCAAGGCAGCCATGAAAAGTATATGCATAACTTACTCTATATACCATGTTTTATAACGTGTCAAGTTTTATAATTCTATATCATTTGTATAAACAAATATTTTACAACATAAATAATTTTAAGGCATGAGCATAAGGGAGAGAATTTAAGGCTGCCTTTCCTGAATGGTCAATTTCTCAGTTAAAACATAGCTCTATTCTTAGCTTTTTACGTAGGGTACAAGGACAGCATGGATCTACTCACTTCTAGCATTTATCTCAAGTGCAGTTAAACTTATTTTCAGGTATTACCCAAGGAAGCAGCAGGGGGGGAAATGTCCAACTCACTAGCAGATTCTAATCTTTCACTAAAGGTAAAACAAAAAAAAAAAAATACAGGAGACCTTGGGGACAAGGAGCTGGGATAACAACTGTATTTACCTGCATCCAAGACTACTATGAATTTAAGATGACCCCCCCCGCCCCAATAACTAGAGATTATAAACATGGAAAATATATTTATTAGAATTTTCCATGAACAGAATCTATTCTTTAGAGGGCTGCCTTAAATTCAATCACCTGCACCACTGCAGCAGGGCAAGCAGAGGTACAAGGACAGGTGGCCCCTGCCCCATACCCCTCTGCAATGCCTGCCTCCCAACCCCTGCCTTTCCACCACTTGCCCTTCTCTCACCTCCGCCTAAGTGCTTAGGCCCTCCATCTCTACACCCTCTGGTGCCTCCCCCTGCCATGTCTCTGAGTCAGAACCACCGCAGTTGCCTGCCCCCTGTCTCCCTTCCATGTACTCAAATCCAGGATGAGGGGCTCCTCCCCCCCACCCATGTTAAATGGGGGGGAAAAACATGTCTTAGATTCAAGTACATATGGTAGTACCAGTTCACTATATTCTATGTGTATTTTACCCATGACAAATACAGTCTCCAGGATTGTCTGTTACCTACCTAGGACATTAAACTTGGCAAAGAAAGAAGGCGACTTCAGATTCAGCAGAGGCAGAAGAACAACAATCAGATAAAATGGCACGGTTTTTGATTTGCCCCACCACATCTCGAACGACTCGAAGTCTGAGTTATTGGCAGAACATAATGTCTCACTGTTGTTGTCTGGTTGAGGATCACTGGGAATACCTGGACATATGACTAAAACAAACATGAACAGGCCTTGATTTAAATGAAAGTATCACAGTGAATCAAGCATCTCAGAACCTAGTCCCTGGAGGGGGCATTTTAACTTTTCTGTTTTCCCTTCTCTACTGAACAATTCTAATATAATAAAAGGCTTAGTCTGTCTGTCTGTCGGTAATGCTTCTGGCCGACTGTGCATGCACTGCTGAGAGGGCGAGCGGAGATTGGCTGGGCAGCCCAGGCTGCGCCGGCCCAAATTTGTGCCGCTGCCAGGGAAGTTTGCGGATGGCGAACATGCTCTGGCCACCTGAGCAGTGGGGTTTCACCACACCTCCCTGCCTGAGGGCGAAGCGGGGATCACAGTGGCAGCACCCCCTGCTGCCCAGCCCAGATGCCCCCCAGAACAGCCAGCAGGGAAGGGGAGATGGCAGGAAGGAAGGGGAGCAGGGAGCCAGGTGGATGTGGGCCAGATGGACCCAGAGCGGTGGGGGGGAAGGAAGGCCGGACCCAAAGAGGGGGCGGGAGGAGGTGAAGTCCCCGCCCCGATGATTCTTGATGGGCAATTTGCTAGTAGTTCAATAAAATTCAGTAGCATGCACTTGACCAAACTCTGCAGTGTGCTACAGCCCGACTTCAGCTGCTCAGAACTAGAGCAGGTATTGGGAGAGT